TAAGGTATCAAGTCCAGAGAAATTAAGGAAGAATGATCAGAAGACTGACAGCAAGCCTCCCGATATAAAGGCAAAGTTCCTTACCTAGTTTCTGAACCTCAGCCACTTCTTAGAAATGGAACCCAGCAACTCAAGAAGAGATCAAGTCCCTGTGAGGAAGGGCTGTGCAAGGATGCAGCAGCACTAAATAGTAAATTCCTGGGTACATTAGTCAGTGTTCTTCAGAGAAACAGAACCAATAATATACTATATATATGACATCACATTATATGATATATATACTATATATTGTATATATAGTGTATTATTGTTTCAGTATATATTATTATTATGTTTCTCTGAGGAAGCCTGAGTAATACATGCAGGAATTTACTATTTATCTAGGAAATTTCTAGCTCACTAGCTAAAGAGAGAGAGCGTCTGGCAAGTCTGAAATCGATAGGGTGGTCCAGCAGCCTGAAAACTCAGGAGAGTTGGCGTTGCAGTCCTGACTCTGAATTTCACGGGGCAGCGGGCTGAAAACCTGGCAGGGTTTCCATGTTCACCATCTTAAGGAAAATCTCTTCTTTGGGAAACCTTCGTCTTTACTCTTAAGGCCTTCAGCTGATTGGATAAGGCCTACCCACAAATGAAAGTCATCTGCTTCACTCAAGTCTAATAGAATGTTGATTAATCTGGAAAATAATCTGTGAGATGTTACTCTCAGAGCAACATCTAGGCGGGTGTTTAAAGAAATGTCTAGGCACCATAGCCAGCCTAGCCATGTTGACATATGGAATTAACCAGCACAGTTACTTAAACTTCACCTAATGGGATCTATTGCCATTTATTCAGGTAACCATTGTAACCACTGACGTAACATTAATTAGACCAGATGAACAAATTATTTCATCTCATACCTACAATTAAGAAAGTACAGGCAGGGCATAGTGGCTCATGCCTAACACTTTTGACGTGTTAGGAGCAGAAGGATCATGTGAGGCTGGGAGTTAGAAACTAGCCTGGTCAAAATAGAAAGACTCATCTCTACAAAAGAAAAATTAAGAAAAAAAAAAAATAGCCAGGCATGGTGGTGCATGCCTATAGTCCCAGCTACTCAGGAGGTTGAGGCAGAGAATTGCCTGAGCCCAGGAATTTGGCTGCAGTGATCCATGATTGTACCACTGCATTCCAGCCTGGCCTTTCCAGCAAGACCCTGTCAAAAAGAAAAGAAAAGAAAAAAGAGCCACGTCTGATAGGTGTCTGTGCATTCTGGAAACCACATATTGCACCATTGGGAAGGTGCTCTGATGCTATGGATGCACTGGGTGCTATGGAAGGCTCCAAGGTCTGAGTGGGACCCAGAATGGAGCAGGGCTCTGCAGCAGATCCAGGTGGCAATGCGTGCAGCCCTGCTGCTTGGGCCACTTGATTCAATTACTAATGTTATCTGTGGTGGGGAGAAATGCTTTGTGGCATTTATGGCAGGCCTCAGTAGGAGAATCACAAAGCAGACAGCTAGAATTCTGGAGCAAGGCCATGCCACCTGTAGCAGAGAACACCACATCATCTCACAGTTAGCCAGCTGGGTTCTTTTTGCCCACTACCCAGAAGGCCAATGCACCGAGGAGAGCAAAGAGTTTAATTATCACAGAGCTGGTCAGGCACCTGTAATCCAAGTATTTTGGGAAGCCAAAGTGGATGGATCAGTTCAAGTCAGGAGTTCTAGACCAGCCTGGTCAACATGGTGAAACCTTGTCTCTCAAAAAATACAAAAATTAGCTGGGTGTGATGGTACACACCTGTAATCCCAGCTACTTGGAAGGCTGAGGCATGAGAATCACCTGAACCAGGGAGGTGATTGCAGTGAGCTAAGATTGCACACACACAAAATAATAATAAAATAGATCCCAGACTGGAAACCAGGAGACTCAGTTCTGATCCCAGGGCCATGTAGCCTTGGACAAATCTCTCAAAGAGACTGTACCTCAGTTTCCTCTTCTGTAACATTATACCAATCCATGATATGAGCTTCCTGTGTGCCAGGCACAGTATCTGGGTTATCTTATATAATACAACAATGTGATTGTGCATAGGATAAAGACAGCTGCGTTAGAGAATGTCACTGATCTGAATTCACACACAATGGTGAAGCTGGGATGAAAGCGTGCAGTGTCTGCCCCTGGAGCCTATGCTTAGCTCTGTTGTCCCAGGTTCTCCAACTGCTCCCTCTCAGTTGCTCTTCATATCCAAAGGCCTGTAACTGTTTCTTCCAGGCCAGCATGCACCTGCCCTGGCTTCTGACTTTCTCTGCTCCCTGGCTCTTGCCTAAGAGCCACACATTTGTCTGATGCTTCACCAGAATGCCTTGAGTCCAAAGAGCGTTTGGGACTTTGAGCGAATCACTGGGTCTGGGCATCCCTCCACAAGTTTTTTTTTTTTTTTTTTTTTTTTTGAGACGGAGTTTCGCTCTTGTTACCCAGGCTGGAGTGCAATGGTGCGATCTCGGCTCACCACAACCTCCGCCTCCTGGGCTCAGGCAATTCTCCTGCCTCAGCCTCCTCAGTAGCTGGGATTACAGGCACGCGCCACCACGCGCAGCTAGTTTTTTGTATTTTCAGTAGAGATGGGGTTTCACCATGTTGACCAGGATGGTCTTGATCTCTCGACTTCGTGATCCACCCGCCTCGGCCTCCCAAAGTGCTGGGATTACAGGCTTGAGCCACCATGCCCGGCCCCTCCATAAGTCTTAAAGCATGAAAGAGGTTGTATTTAAAATGGGTTTTGGTGCTCCCATGGGTAGCAGAGCAGCAGAGTGTCCAGAATCATCGACTCCTTGCACTAGAGGGAATGTTTAGTTGTGATTGAGTTATTTCCCCTGGCTCCATCTGTTTCAATCAGATGGACATCTACCCAGGAAAGAATAAAGATTTTCTGGGTTTGGAGGAGGGCTAGAGAATTGGAACTGACTATTTGGGAACAGTAGCATGTAGCTTTCTCACTCTTGGCCTGGCAGGTGGCAGGTACAGAGAGGAGACAGCTGTGGCACTGAGGAGCTGTCCAGGAGGCCTATTTTTGGAAGACTCATTGGGATGGCAACCTCATGAGTCTGTGAGAGAACTTTTCTCCTTGGAAAACATTCTTTAATGTCTCAATGTTCCATTTTCCTGGGAATGGAGCGGCTGCTGCCTTTCAGAGAAGCTATAAATAGTCCTAGCCAGTTTGATTAAATAATGCCACAGAATGAGGGTGAGGAGGGCCAGGTGTTCTGGGAAACCTTTGCAGCTGCCAGTAATTGGACTAAAAGATGCAGAGGCCCCAGCTTGGCTGGCAGCATGAACACAGCATAGGGAGAGAAGAGGGCTTCCCAGGCTCAGCTCCCCAAAAGCCAACAGATATTGGGGAGAGGGCTGGGTTGATGCTCCCAGGAGGAAATTCCAATGGAGCCAAGGACTCTGGGACTTGAGTGGCCTCTCTGCCCATGTGAACAGTGCCAGGCTCAGAAGAGGACTCCGATGGAGCACACACAGCCTGGCTGGAGGTGCCCAGAGCAGCTGTATTCATAGCTGCTATCAGAATGCTCTGCTCTGAGCAGGGAAAGGGCAGTAGGTGTGTGAGTTCCATACTTTCCCCACTGGGCTGCTGTGTTCTCATGGGCCTTGCCTAAGGGCATGGGCTAAGCCCATGCCCTTAGCCCTCCAAGTAGTTCATCCAGAGCCATATTTTTGGGCATTTTAAGGCATGGGGGAGGAGTGCTTTCTTGGCAAAGATAAGCAGAATGCAAGAAATAAATAGCTCCCCATGTGCACATAATTATACTGAGGCTCCGTGATTACTTGGGATCCTGACTTGGAATAAAGTCAACAATTCAGCAGTCTCCCAAAGACTTTGTCCAGCTCCGCCTCCCTTATGTTTTTGAACCTGTGATTCTATTACCATCAGGGCACCAAAGGCTTCACCTTTTTCTCCTTCATGATTTGGACAAGACTTGCTTTGGAAAGCTGGTCTTCCAATCTGAGATGGCCTCAGCCCAGGGGATAAAGCAGGAGCCATGTGCCTGGAGCATGTAAGGGGAATCGTGTTCCCCTACTTCTTGCTGGATCCCCTTCCACTCTCCCTTGAAGAGAGGTGGGCAGAGGTGGGGCGCAAAGTAACCCAATTCCTCAGCCCTGAAAGAGAAATGCAGTAGGTATGGTGCTGCTGGCAGCATTCTCCAGGACATATTTGTATTTTTGCTTCTGTTTCCACAGAATGCCCACCCCGGGCATTTGGCCACCTGTGGGGAAAAGAGGCATTTGATTTTCTGCAGATGTCAACTCTTGTAAAAGTCTCTGTTCCTCATCCTTCAACAGAGCAGCCACACGTATCATTCCAGGCCCCATTTCAAATCAGAAAACCTGAGTGGGCACAGGAACAAGCTCAGGATTTAAACTGCTTGTTGCTGCTGTAATGTGTGAATAGTGCATCTTTAGTGTAGATTCTAAAACAAAGCTTGGGGTGCAACCCTGGTGACAGTGGTCACAGGCAGAGTCTGCTGTATCTGTCCCCCAAACTTATGCCTTCCTCTGCACAGAGCCAGCACCAGCAAAGGGTGCTTCTGAATCAGAATGTTCCTAAGCTGGGAGAAGAGAAACCAGAGTGTCTTTGTGTTTGAATGAATCATCCTATTTCATGCGTCATCTATTTATTGTTGACATCTTCCTTGTACCATTTTCCAACAGGATCTGGGAAAATGGTGCATTCTAATCAGTGGGCCTGGGATTTCTTTAATCAGAATGAGCATCTTTCAGGAGGATGGTTGAGGGTGAAGCTACCTCTAGAGAAATGACAGAGGGACTCACTGGCTAAGTCCATGCTAAGGTATGATACCAGATCCTTCCGGCAGAATTTGATGGGTCAGATAAAAATAATAGGAGCTTATGACATAATACATAAGAAATATATATGCATATATATATGTGTGTATATATATATATATATATTCATGTATATTCATGTGTATATATGAATATATATATGAATCTCAGCACTTTGGGAGGCCAAGAGGAGGATTGCATGGGGCCAGGAGTAGTTCAAGACCAGCCTGAGCAACAAGCAAAATCCCATCTTTCTCTCTATATATGAAAGAAGAAATAAATATATATTTGGCTTTTGCCCCAGTATTGGTACAGAGCTTCTAAGAAACCCTTGTAATTTCCTGAGTGATAGAGGTTCTGGGAGCATCAGGCACATCCAAGCAGTGCCAATGCTAGCAAGATCACTTGGTCCTGAGCAGGGCAATATTGACTTTCACCAAATGCCCAGACAACAGCAGGGCAGCACATGGTGGACTCCAAGGAGGCACAGGCCTCTTGCCTGGGTTCTGTGGCTCTCTGTGTCTGAGTCCATCCTTCCTTCCAGTCCTTTTTCTGCCACTGCTCCTCTTGAAGGAGAACTCTACTACTGCTGTCAAATCTATGCACAATTTTCAGCAATTGCACACATCACACTGTACTGTGGCTTCCTCTTTGTTCACACTCACTATGGTTGAAATCTCTTTTCTTTCTACCTCTACCTATGTGAATGCCACTTTCCTTCCAAGACCCAACTCGAGTGTCGTTTGACTTACTCATTATATTGACTTCCATCTCTTCTGTCTTCATTTAGTTCTTATTTCTGCCAAGAGCTTTGCATATATTCATTCTAGTCCTTTAAACAAACCCATAAGACAGAGATTATAATTTCCTCTTTATGAATGAGAAAACTGAGTTCAGAGAAGTAAAATAACTTGTCCAAGAACACATGTAACTGACAAAGCTGGTACTCAACTACACGAATGAATTAATAGATTAATAAGAGCTTGCATTACCAAGAAGCAAATAAAAAGATACTCAACATATCCATCAGGGAAATGCAAATCAAAACCACAATGAGAAACCACTCACACTCACTAAAATGGCTCAAATAAAAAACACAGACAAGAACAATTGCTGACAAGGAAGTGGACAAATTAGAACTGTTACACACTGCTGGTGGGAGTGCAATAGTACAGTCATTTGGAAAACAGTCTGACTGTTCCTAAAAAAAAAAAAAAGTTAAACTTAGAATTGCCACATAACCCAGCAATTTCACTTCTAGATATACACCCAAGAATTGAAAACATATGTTCACACAAAACTTGTACCTGAATGGTCAAAGCAGTATTATTCATAATTGCCAAGAGGTAGAAAAGGCCAGCTGTCCATCATCAGCTGATGACTAGCTAAACAAAATGGGCCATATCTACGTATGGAATAATATTCAGCCGTAAAAATGAATGAAGCACTGACACTTGCTACCTGTGTTTTTCATTTAGCTAAGGTTTCTAAAAATAAGAAAACATCTGTGCAATTGCTAATACGACATGCTGTACCTAGATAAATTTCTCTGGGAACATTGAGACTCAAATACGCAAGATGATAAAACAGGCCACATCATTACAGCAGGTTTCATCTAATTCACCACAGTCATTTGATTTACTCAGTTGGTTGCCTTTAAGCGTAGATTCATTCCTCAAAACTGTTACGTAAACTGAGATTATCATATTACTATTACTTTTGATGAACTCTAGAAACCTTAGCTAAATGAAAAAAGACAAAGACAACTATATATTGTGTTGTTAGAATTTAAACAACAGAGAGAGACTCTCTAAAATTAAATGACATTGATTTCAGAGTAAGCATTGAATAGGAATACAGTAGGCATATTTGGGAAGGTAAAGGAAGACAAGTGTTTTAAAAGAAAATGAAGAGGATTATACAAGTTATTTTGAAATAATGATCCTTGGCTACAAGGATCTGAACAAGGGTAGCACACGTCCAAGTTTGGACAGGCAGTAGCCGGACAGATGCCATCGCAGCAGCACTTTTTTGTGTAACATTGTGGTGGCCCTTTTGCAAGGTTGCAGTTTTTGCAGTCTTTTGTGATAGTTCTTGTTACCAGATAGATATGTGTGAGTTTTTTTTTTCCTTTAGGGTCTTCACCGGCTCTATTTGTCAGGACTTTTAGACAAGTGACTTCATTTTGATTTTCAGAACTTTTACATTTCCCCCTTTTGATTGAGATCTTTCTCTGAAAGCATGGCTCCTCAATGATCCTGTGGTTTAGGTTTTGGTTATATCCTGGTGTCAGAATGGACCTGACTCAGGTTGGTCTGGTCCCACATTGGAGGAAGTTATCGACAACTAGGAGTCAGTGTCGAAACTCTTAGAGCCATATTTGAGCCACAGGGAATTTTTCAGAGTGGCTTTCAGGGTAAGTCTACCTGCAGACCATTGTTATGTTTAATTTTGTCTGTTCCCTAAACATTGATTATCATCTCAAAGTGCTGGGCCAGCATTCTGTTGTTAGGATTTGGATTGCAGAAATTTGACAAGCAGCGGTACAAAGTTTAAAAATAGAGAAAGGAAAAGAAAATACAAAGTAAAAGTAAGAGTAATATGATAAAATCTGTTTATATAACAGTTTTGAGGCAATGAATCTAGGATTAAAGACAACCAATTGAGTAAATCAAATGACTATGGTGAATTAGATTAGATCTGTTGTAATGATGTGGCCTGTTTTATTATTTTGTGTATTTGAGTCTCAGTGTTCTCAGAGAATGTATCCAGGTACAGCATGTTATATTAGCAATAGCATAGACATTTTCTTGTTTAACCAATAGATACTACAGAGTATTTTTATCATCTAGTATCTCATGCCTGGGTTGAATTAAAGCAGATTGAGCAATAGATTTATTGGGGATATTGTTAAAGTTACTCGCTGGGTGGACTAAAATATTTTTTAGGTCAGATTCTGCCAAGTTACCCCCAGTAGTATCTGTGAAACTTTAATTACATGATTATCCTGCCAAGTGAAAGTGGTAGGCATAAATGAGAAAAAAACTAAGAGGAGCTGCAGTCTCTTTATGGGGAGGGCTCTTGTTTTGTCATTTTGGGAAAAGCTGTCCACAGCATGAAGCCAGAACGTTATGTCCTGGATTGCAGCTGGAAAGTCTTTGGTTATGGCATCGGGTGGTCTGGTGAGCTTTCTGTGTAGCCCATCTTTCAGACATGCAACTTGTCCCTTAAATTTTAATTTCCATTTACAAGGCTGCAGAAACAGAGAGGTTTCCATTTTTAGTAATTCCATGGGAAAAAAGTGAATTGGAAGAAATCTGAAGCATTCTGGATTAAGCCCGGTCTCTTGGTAGGGAATAAAAACTTGAAAATAACGTCAGGACTAACAGGTGTATTATATACATTTTTGTAAACATGATTTTTTTCTTTATAGTTTTTCCCCCCATTTTTGCCAAAGATAATCAAAGTGAGACAAATTTGTTTGTAAAATAAGTTTAGTTTCATTGATTTTTGTCGATCATTTACATAAGTGCAACAAGGATACTGACTGATGCATAGGAATCTCAGATTTTAAAACCTCTTGAGGCTAGAAAGCCAATTCAAGGCAGACTTCAGATTTCACCTTAGTACTTATAAACAATTTAACTGTGACCTCCCAGTCCAAACTGTGGTAATATAACTAACCTTTACAGTTGTATCCTGTTATAAATACAGCACATCCTTGTTGAATTTATGCAAACAACTATGTTGTCACAAAAAAATAAAACTACTCATGAATAGCTTCTAAATTTTGGAGATACCAAGTAGGGGGAAAAAGTAAATACTTACCCTTTTGTTTATAAAAGTATACTTGACCAAATTACTGTAAACTATAGACAGCTTAAGAAAAAAGTTTCCTTAAGTTTGGAAAACAAAGCATGTAAGCAGAGAACCAACAATGTTTCAAATAAAAGTTCCAGAAACATTTTATTTATTACTTATTCAATTTTATATAATTAGTTTTTGTTCTCTTTGATCTTGATGAGTAGTTTTATGAACTATCTAGTTTTATTACAGTTCAGAAATATTTGGTCCATTGAAAAAAAAGTTATCAGGAACCTGTATTTAAGAGTACTTGTTAGTTAGAGTCTTTTCCATGAAAAGCAATTTTGGACTATAGCTAATTATAAATGCATTTAGAGAAAAATCAAAACAATAACTGTGGATGACAAAGTCTTAGGTTAGTCATGGTTAAAAATCTAATGTGAGGTCCCAATTGCAGAGGAAACTAATTATGTCTACTGCATTCATGGCTGACAGTATCACATCAGGACCATCACACATTTGTAAATTTCATGTAGTCTTTGCAATACTCGCATCAGCTTCTCATTGTCCATCCTGCACCCGCTATTCTGAATGTTTTGCTCCCAGAAGATTTTCAGAAATGAGCAGGGAGAAAAAAAAATGTAAAAAAAAAGACATTATTTACAGACATGCAGAACCAAATAAAAATGAAATAAAAATAAGAGTTTTCACAAAACTTTTAAGCCAGGCACACAGATCAAAGAAAATGTTAAACCAGGCCAGCAGACCAAAAAAAAAAAGTAAATTTACAAGAAAAGACATGACTCACAGACAGAATGTAAATTTTATAGAAACCAAAGTGCTCAAACTAGAAAGACACTCATATTTATATCAGAAAGGGCTTGCTAGGAAAGACTTCTATAGTCCCAAGAGAAATGCAAGATTTTTAAAATTTAAGATAGCTTTATAACCAAAACAGATACCAAATAAAGTCAAAAGAGCTTACCAAAAAGAGGAGTCTAGGAATCTGAGAGGAAATTCACCAGGGCATAAAAGGTGAGTCATGGAGGTAGAGAGCTCAAAAGGGCTCAGCACAGGCAGTTCACTGTATTTCAGGGGTTGCCAAGCTGTCCAAGGTGAACCAGCTTCAGTCTCACTTCTGACACCAAATTGTGTCAAAACCTAAATAACAGACACACACACAGAGAGACTCTGAAAAATGAAATATATTTGTTTGGGAGTAAGTATTGCAATGGGAATATGAAAGACATATTTAGGGAGATAAAAGAAGACAAGGGTTTTTAGAGAAAAAGCTGCAGAAGATTATATAATTTACTTTGAAATAATTATTTTAGGCTACAAGGATCAATAACAAAGGTGGTGCCAGTTCAAGGTTGGAAAGGCAGTTGCTAGGAAGATGTCCTTCAAGAAATGCTTTTTATGTGTAAAGCTGTGGTGGCCTTTGTGCAAGGTTGTGGTTTTTATAGAGTCTTTTGTGATAGTTATTACTACCAGGTATGTGTGTGAGAACCTGCTCTTCCTGGATTTCCCTGACTCTGTTCCTGAGGGTTTTGATACAAGTGATTCCATTTTGATTCTGACAACTTTCACAATATGATTCTATTTATATGAAATGTCCAGAGTAAGCACCCCTCTATATAGAAAAAGTAGACTTAGGCTGCCAGGAGCTAGGGAGAGAACAAACGGGGAGTGAGTTGGATTGGGTATGGGATTTCTCTCGGGGGTGAAAGAAATGTTTTGAAATTAGATAGTGGTGATGGTTGTACAGCTTTGTAAATATACTAAATACCACTAAATTGGTCACTTTAAAATGATTGATTTTGTGATATATAAATTTTATTTCAGTGAAAAATAGAGTCTACACTACTTGGATTCACTGAATTATTCATTAAGCATTTATTAAACAACTGTTATGTATCTAGAATAGTTTTGCCAAGATCAAGCACCTAGCAGACACTCTAAAATATTTGTTGATTCATTGATTGGGTGGCCATGCTTAGCCCTGGGGGTGTAAAGAGATGATTGAGTTGCAATGTATTAAGAAACCAAACCAACAAAATGGAGTATAAATCATAATATTCCATTTATATCAAATTCTATAAAATGAAAACAACTATAGTGACACAAAGCAGATCAGCAGTTGTCTTGGGATGGGAGAGCAGTCAGGGAGGCGTACAAGGGAGAGATTACAAAGAGGCACAGGAAAATTTTAAGAATATAGGTATGTTCATTTATCTTGACTGTGATGGCTCCATGGGGATATGCGTGTGTGTATGTCAAAATTTATCAAAATGTTCATTTAGAATACAGTTATTCCTCAATACCATGGGGGTTGGTACGAGGACCTCCTGTGGGTACTAAAATCTGCAGATGCTTAAGTCTCCCTTATAAAATGGCATAGTATTTGTATCATATGTGCGTATACTTATGTACATCCTTTGGTATACTTTAAATCATCTCTAGATTACTTATAATAGTGAATGCAATGTTAACACAATATAAATAGTTGTTATACTGTATTATTTTTAAATTTGTATTGTTATTTATTTAAAAATATTTTTTATCCCTGGTTGGTTGAATCCAGGGATGCAAAGCCCAGAGGGCCAACTGTATGTGCAGTTTATTGTATGTCAATGACACCTCCATAAAGCTGTAAAAAGAATAAAAGATGTGACTTCTCCAGGAGTTTATAATATGGTACAAGTGACAGCTGTGCACTGTCCCCCTGCAACTCCCAAATCCCTGCCAGACCTTGAATTGCCTCTGCTCCAATATCCTAACTGCCACCATCTCCCCTTGTGTTAGTTTGCAAGGACTGCCATAACAAGGTACCACAAACTGGGTGGCTTAAAGAACAGAAATGTATCTTCTCACAGTTCTGGGACTAGAAGTCCAAGATCAAGGTGTCTGCAGGCTTGGTTTCTCCTGAGGCCTCTCTCCTTGGCTTGCAGATGGCTGTCTTCTCCTGTGTCCTCACATGGTCCTCCCTCTGACTGCGTTTGTGTCTTCATCTCTTCTTGTAAGGACACCAGCTGTATCCAGTTAGGACCCACCCATACAACCTCATTTTAACTTAACTGCCTCTTTAAAGACCCTGTGTCCAAATACAGTCACACGCTGAGGTTGGGGGGTTCGGATTTCAACATGTGAATTTCGGAGGACCTTCTCACACTCTAATCTTCCTGTCCTTGCAACTCTTTCACAAGCCTTCTTTCTATAAAGCCTGTCCTTTGGCTTCATTAAGCTTTGATTCCCTCTTTACATACTGTGTTTCAGGGTGGGCAAATGCTTCAGCCACTCCTCTCAGGTAAGTGGGCTCTCCAGGCCTGTTGTCCCTCTGCCTTGCCTGTTACCTCCATCACTCAACTCTAGGCAGCACTATTCCCTATGGTCCCTGTGAATTCAACTGGGGAAAACAGAATCACTCCATAAGTTACAGCTTAACAAACCTTTCATGTATGACTCTCATGCACAATGGTGAGATTTCCCCAAACAACACCATGCTGTCCCAGCCTCTGCTGCTCACCTGTCCACCTCCATTCAGTGGCTGACCTCTTTTATGGAGGACAAAGGTTGTCAGGGATGGAAACCCCCAGATGTCCACTCTCCTTCAGTCTACAATGGGTCAGAAGACACCATTAGTTCATTATTTTCTTTCTCATGTTCTGATAGTCTACTAAGTGTCAACCCAGGATAGAGTCTTTGCCAAGGTAGCCTTTTCAGTCCTATCAATTACCTTGCAAGAGAAATGTGGCTACATCCATTTCACAGATTAGAAGTGAGAGCCAGTCACAGAATGTGTCCAAGGTTATGTGGTTAATAACCAGTGGAGAAGGATGAGGACACTGCCATTTCTTCCACCATGCATTCATTCATTCATTCATTCACATTCATTGTGGAATGGCTTCTTTGAATAAACCAGGCATTTTGAAGAAGCTGGTGGCCAAAAATGAATAAAACACAGTCCCCCCTCACTCAGGTCTAGCTAGGGACAGGCACACATCAAATAACGGTACTGCTGTACGGACAGGGCCACTGATGAGAAACAGAATCCTGTGGTAGGGACTCACAGTGCATTAAAGCACTGAACTGGGCAAGTTTTAACTATTTGTCTTGGTGGACTTGGAGGGTAATGACCATCTATTTTTCTTTTTTTTCAGTCATTAAAACTGAGTGTGGTGTTAGGCATTCAATCAATGCCTATTGAATATTTGTGAGAGCGAGTGAATAACCTTGAGTTTAGCTCTCTGCCTTACTGTCTTACACTCATTTCCATTCCCCCAGTATGTGAGGGAGAAATGAAGGATTATTCATTTTCTAAATAAGGTTTGTACAGGTGTCTCAAGATGTAACACGACATTGACTTCCCAATAAAGAAAATACAAAAATAAAAACTTAAAATAAAAGTGTTTAAAATTTTGCAAAAAAAGCCTCCAGTTTTGCTTCACAGTTGACGGAGGAAGACTGGCACAGATTCACTGTAAAGTAAGTCTCCTGTTACCACAGGTGGGTGCTCACATACAGGTTGATTCCTGTGATTGCGCCAGAGCAACGAACATGCCTGTGACGTCACTTCTAATAGATACTCTGTATCCTTCCTGGTTTGGGGACTGTGACAAAGAGGGATAAAACTATTATTTCAGAACTATTGCTTCAGCTGGGTGTGGTGGCAAGCACCTATAATCCCAGCTGCTTGAGAGGCTGAGGTTGGAGGATCACTTGAGCCCTGAAGTGCAAGACCAGCTTGGGCAGAATAGAAAGACTTTGTATCTCAAAACAAACAGTAACAGGAAAAAAAAAGTGGCTATTTCATGCAACAATATGGCTGAAACTTGAAGCGTGTTAAGCAACACGGGATTACCTAGAGTATTATGATTCCCTTTCTATGAAGTTCAAGAATAGAGAAAACTTGTCTATGGTGATAGAGGTCAGGGAAGTACATAGAAGCATTGACTGGAAAGGACATGAGGAAGCTTTCTGAGAAGATGGGAATGTTCCATATCTTGATCTGGGTGGTGGTACAGAGAAGTTCTACTTAGGAGTAAAATCCATCCAGTTGTACATTTTATAACATATAAATTATGCAAATAATAATACTATGTGTAATATATTGTATATAATGATGCAAATCATAGTCATAATATGCAGGACTAGGAACTGGACATTTTGAGACACTTACACACACATGTGCTATATTCTTGAGTCAAATATACTAGAAACTTTGCATACTAGGCTCCCTGGCATATTTGCAATCGATATGAGTGTGTTAAAGACTCTGAAACCTTATTTCAGAAATAAGGAAGTCTGTCCGACACACCATATCCCAAAGGCTTTTGATCCTGAATTCTCTGTTCAGTGTGCCTACCGTTCTACAGAGCATGAGCTGGAGAAGGGCTGGTACAGGGAATTCTTCACTTCACAGTTGGAGAGATCCCCACAGCCTTTCGTCCTTTGCAACTTAAAGCCCTGATTAGGAACATGCCTTTGAGGAGACTTATATCCTCATCACACAACAAGTAACTAAATCTGGAATGTAACCCAGGCTGGGGCTGTGGATGTACACATCCCTGCAAGTGGTGAACAAAGTCTCTAAAAGAGAACTCTGCGAGAAGCAGGTGGCCATAAATACCAAGAGTGATTTTTCATGAAGTGCTCTGGAGTTGTGAACTCTTCTGGAGTCTGTGTGGGGTACCCAGAGTGAAGCCTTTTGTTCTACTAATGTTGAATGAGGAACATCTTGTTATTTTAGGCTTGGTCTACTGAACAGGTTGTAACTCAGGGCCTTCTAGGCTCACACTTTCTAGAAAGAGCAAGATGTGACCTTCAAAGTCTTTAACAACTGGTATTCATGTCCCCAACAGAGGGACACTGACCAGCTCACCACACCAGTATGCAGAATATCACCTCTGCATAGTGCTACTTAGAGGCTGAAAATGTGAAGCAATTTTAGATACCAAAATGTCTTAAGGCAGAGACTCCTACAACTGAAGCTGTTTGTGTGATTGACATTGTATCTCGAGAAGGTTTTACCTGAAAGAGAAGATTTTTTTTAAACGGCAAACTCATAGGCACTTTTATCTGTAACTGAAAATTATCTCACCACCAAGTGGAATCTGACAATAATAACATGCATGACAGGAATGTTTGGTGAAATGGGGAGTGGGGAAGAAGAATTGGTGAAAATTGCTTTTTATTTTAACACCCATTTTGTTTTCTTAAAATATATTTAAAACATTCACAGGGAAATAATTGTCCTCTTTGCTCAGT